GAGAGAGAGAGAGAGAGAGAGAGAGAGAGAGAGAGAGAGAGAGAGAGAGAGAGAGGAAGAGAGAGAGAGAGAGAAAAGAGGGAGGTAGGGAGGAAAGAAGGGAGGGAGGGAAGGAAAGAGGCTAAGTGATGAGTGTCCACCCCTTTCTCTCTCTATGTTGACTGTCAACTTGATTTGATGGAGGAGTGCTTAAGAATTGGAAGAACGCCCCTGGGTGTGTCTGTCAGGGCATTTCCAGCGAAGATTAATTAAGAGGAAAATACTTGCCCTGGATGTGGGTGGTACCATCCCATAGGCTGTGTTCCAGATGAAATAAACAGGAAAAGAGAAAGCAGACATCCTGGCTACTTCCTGAACTCCACAGTATGTTCTCCAGGGCTCCTCCACATACTTCTCAACATGAAGGAGTAAAACTACAAGAACATTAAATGTCTTGTTTATGTCAAATGTTTTTGTCCGTGATTGACATCTGTTTGTTTACTAATTCCACCTATCTATTTGTTTTTCCGTCTGTCTGTCTATCCATCCTTCCTCCATCCATCCACCTACCCATCCATCTAGCATCTATCTGGCACGTATTATGCATTGTCTTCTGGTTAGATCGTTAATGTCTAAGATTTAGACTGTAGTTGCCCATGTGAATATGGAAGTTATGTCTACCTATAGCTCCTAAAATAATGCTAACTAATGAAATGACTAGCGTTTCCCAGTACTCATTCAGTTCTTGTGGGTGTTTCTTTAGGGTTGTGAAGAGCTTAAAGCAGGGAAGCAGTATATTCTTTCAGGAAGAAAGCTTTTTGTGAACAGCGTCGCGGCAGAGGACGGCGGGAGCTATGCATGCACGGCCAGACTCACTCACTTGGGGAGAGAGTTCACGGTTCGAAATTACATCTCTGTGAGCATCAGTAAGTTTACTCAAATACTGTTGTCTGGTTCTCAGCTTCATGGGAGCTGCATGGCTTCAGGCTTCAGAATATTGGTTTTGTTGAAGGGTACTAGACCCTCTAACATGTCCCCATTGGATCAAAGCACCAGAGAGTGAGACAAGGCGGGCAAGCATCTTAGTTCTCCCAACTTTAAAGACAGAATGTTCAGAACTCTTGGAGAGCATCGAAAGAGATTGTGTAATAGGGGAGTTCCCTGGGTGCTTAGCAAAGTGTAGGCGTCCACGGTAGACAGTGTTACTATTACCCTCGTCTCCCTGTCTGTCGTCCTCACTCTTGTGTGATTGGAGTGTGACCCTTCCAGGCGTGGTACTACCTCCTGGTTTCAGCTTTACAGAAGCTTCAGGATCTCTGAATGTGTTTCCTGGATAACCAACTGCTTGCGTTGGTGTCAGGGCTCAAGCTAGAGTAGTGAATCCTTCTGGAAGCAGCCACGCTAGGTGCTGTCTCACTGGCACCCAGTTTCCTGGATGTACAATGATCTGCAGACTGTAAGACAGCCTCTTAGATTAGACAAAAAAAAAAAAAGCCTCAAATATTCAGGTAAAAAAGCCAGCATATTCTTGTACAGCTCCAGGGAGGCAGCAACTTCTCAATGTTCCCAAGGATGACTAGAACCATAATTAGGGTCAGAATGGTGACCTTAAGTGTCCAGGGAAATATTTTTCCTTCTGTACACACTGAATGAAGAATTTGTGCCTTTTGGGTATTTCTTCCTTTAGGGCTGTCATATTTGTTACTGTATCTAAGGAAATACAGCTTTCTTGGTTTTTCAGGTTTAGTTTAATTTTCTATGTAAGGGGATCTGCCTAGATATGTGTCTGTGCACCATTTGTGTGCCTTGTGACCAAAGAGGCCAGAAGAGATGTCAGAGCCCATGGAACTAGAGTTACATCTGTTGTGAGCCAACACGTGGGTGCTAGGAACTAAACCTAGGGTCCATCAGTAAATGTCTGAACTTCTTACCATCTTAAGAGCTATCCTGCCACAATATAGCTTATTATTTTTCTTTTCCTTTAATGGAGCTATGCCCTTGGGCTATCTGCTCCCATGATGGCTTCCTGCTGCCCACCTGGGCCTGCTCCAGGGTGACTCAGGCTGGACCCTTTACTACGGAGATCCGGTCATTCTCTGGATCTTAGCCTGGTTCTTTCCAACACGGCTCTTCCTGCCTTACCTTGCACTGTTCTTTGCTGAAATTTCTTATGAGATTGTAATATTTTTGGATGGTCTTCGATTTTAATTTATCACCTCTTTATTAAGAAAACAAATTGCAGTCTAGTTTGTGATTGTCTTGCTCTTGGGTTTCCCTGCTGATGGCGTCTTCGGGAAAGAGCTCCTCGCCTTGTTCATGTTTGGATCCCCACACTGCTAGGAATTCATTGACTGAATGACTGACGGCCACACTGCGTTAGCCTTACATGAGTAGCCGAGGGAATTTCTATGATGAGGGAAAGAAACAGCCGTGTACTGCCACGAAGAAGCTTGCAGTCAGAGAGGCACTGGAGGCAGAGACAGACGATTGCCTGCTGAGCTGCGTCAGTACGGGGGAGATGCTTGCACAATGATAGGCAGAAAAGAGTTCAAAGACAGATAGAATGACCAGAGCATTTACAGATAGAAGACTAAGAAGCTGTGGGGACCCAACAGCAAGAGGAGCCATGTTGTGAATGAGGGTTGGGAAACAGGCAAGTTGGCCCGGGTTGATAAGATCATAACAGGTGGTGAAGTTAGAGAATCAGTCAGGGGTGAGGAAGTGGGTGGAACTTGAGTTCCAAATAGGGCAGTGTGGATTTTTTTTTCTTCTCAGAACAATGGTAAAGAGGCAGCGGGGCTGACTCCATGAGAACAGCTTAGGGTGCTTTTCACGTCTGAAATGAAATGGCCACCGTGCCGATGCTCTCTCTGGGAACGGGATGGTGGTTATGAGGCAGGTGCCAAAGTACAGGTGGGATGCCACACAGGCACCATGGTAACATGGATGGTTGGGAGATGCGCACACATCCACAGCATCTCCAAAGCGGGAAGATACACCTCTCGGAGTTAACTGAGCAGGGAGGAAGGAAGGAGGCATGGATTCTAGGCCTCTGGGCATGTGCTGCTGGGTGGAAGGTGATGTTAATCATGAAACAAGACAGCTCAAGGAGAAAACAGGGGTAGGAGAGATTTGGTCTTTAGCAAGTTGAGCACGAAGCGTGCAAGAGGAGGAATGGACTCGGCCATAACCTCAGTGGCTCTGGAACTCAGAGGGATGTCCTGGAGTTAAGACTTTCTGGGCATTGGACTTTAGATGTGAATTCAAGATGTGAGTGGCTAAGCTGGTCTAACAAGGATAGAGAACAGACAGGAAATAGGTGGTTCTGAAGTGAAGATGGAGGCCCAGGCTTCGCAAAGTTAGGAGGGAGCATGTGTTGGGCTGGGTGGTGAAGAATTTGAAGAGGAGCATGAGAAAACTGTTGACTAGAATGACCTCTAGATTTGATATACGTGTCATCTAGTAGGTGGCATCATTGGTTGGTGACGACTGCTACTCATGAGTCACGAAGTGAGGAGCTTTACAGAATGCAGCCACACTGTGGTCATCCCAAATGTCACACTCCTGGGTTTTAACTCATCTTGACCAATGTTTATGGGGTCTTCTCTCGAAGCACTACTGCCATTGCATTACGTTTCTGGGGGAATGTATCTCTTTTTTTTTTCTTCTAATGCGTAGTTCCTGTGGGTTTGATTTCTTCTCAGAGGAACCTGCGTCTGGATTAAGGATTCCTCATATCTCATATCCAAAAAACAACACCATCGAAGTTCAACCTGGTAAGTAAAGCTGTCGGAACCCTCCTGGTTACCATGGGTAGAGATCACTGCCCTCACTTGTTTCAATGGATGCATTAAGTGTCCAAGGTGGAGACAACCTTGGTACATGTCTGATTTCCAAGTCTGGGTGTGCCTGGGCTCCACGGGAGGTGCACCAATGTGTTGGGCTAGAGAGATAGCTCAGCAGGTAAAGTGATGAATGAGCATAGAGACCAGAATTTGACCCCCAAAACCCACGAGAAGAAAGCAGGCTATCTATGGTGGCACATGCTCATAGGAAAGGCATAAACATGAACTTGCCTGGGCTTACTGGTCTACCCACTGAGCTTATTCGGTTAAGTTCCAGACTAAAGACTCTGACTCAAAAAAGAAATAAAAAGTTCACACCTGACCTTCACATGCACACACGCGCGTGCACACACACACATCCCCACACACATGTGAACTTACCTGAACACATACCACCTGTATGTAAACATACAGACAAATGCACACAAGAGATGCAGGGGAATTGAAGTTTCTAAGAAGGAGAGTAAACATAATGACGCTGAAGGATCTTTTGATATCTACTTAGCTATTCTAAGAAAATTATCTAAAATGCCACAATCACTTGTACTTTTTTTAAAGACTATTCTAATATAATAAAAAAACTTTTTAGTTTCACTAGTTTGAAACACTAGTGTAGTATCTTGATACTAACATGTTCTGTTAATGATTCCACCAGGCTGTTTTCCTCTGGGATACAGGGACTATAGAAAATTACATGTCAGCAACTCTCTGTCTTATTGGGTGCTCTCAGCATCACCCACCTCTGAGGTACCGAGAACATTTTCCCAAGAATATTTATATAACTAAGTTGATATCAAGATAGATGTTAAGGCAAACGCATTATTAGAGGCCAGTAGAAATGTAGTGATCGAATTTCAATTTTGAATCTATAAATACATAATATGATAACATGGCCTTTAAAACTTGTATGTTCAGAGGAACAGTGTTCAATAGTCAAGTACTGAACTTTTTATAGGTGTTTCAATGGATTTTTAAAACATCAGACTAATTTGTCCTCTTCTTTAGCTTTTTAACATTTTCTTGTTTTTTTTTTTTAAGAGTCAATGAATTTTAAATGAGGAAGAACTAGATTGGGAGACTAATAATACCTAATTAAGAGGCTAACAAATTTATACACTCTATAGCTGATACAAGGAAAGACTATAGAAGTGGAAAATCAGAAAGACTCTCACACACTATTCTTTTGGATTTTGATAAAGACACTACAGAAAAATAGATAAATTATAGTCTTAATGGAGAGAGAGAGAGAGAGAGAGAGAGAGAGAGAGAGAGAGAGAGAGAGAATATGTATCCCAGACTGGCTTTGAATTCCTGATCTTCTTGTCTTCATCTCCCTGAGTAGTGCTGGGATTATAGGTATGTGCTACCATACCAGGCTGGGAAATTAAATATATTTGGATAAATAGTGCCTGTTTATTAGATGTAATGTAGAATAAAAGGAAATTTGACCTCTCCTTCACATCATATAAGAATAATCCAATCCTGGGTGAATTGGAGACCTGAATATGATAGTCAAAACATAGGAAAACAACCTCATGATTCTGAAGTAATAAAGGATATTTTAAAAATTGGGACAAACAAAACCTTAGTTCCAAAAGAAATATGTGTAATAAGAGGCTGTTAAAAATAAATTTCCATTTATTAAAAGACAGTATTAAAAGTAGAAAAAACTTTGGAGCAGAACAAAATGCCTCTAGTAGGTGATCACAGACTCTCCATGCTTGTAAGGAAGACAAGACCTAGCAGAGGAGGGAAATGTTCAGTCAAACCATGTTCAGCCAGTACCATGCACGTGACCAGTAAAATACAAGGCAGCTGTTTGCTCATGTGTTTGCTCAATGTAGAGGAATACAAGTGAAATTCAGAGCATGAGCATCTATAATGAAATGCTCTGACCATTAATACTATTGAGTGTGTGAAGCAACAGGAAGCTTACACAGTGTTGGTAGGGGTGCAGCTTGAATTGACCCTCTAGGAAACAGTCCATGGCAACCTCGTGGAGCTGAGTACTGTATGCAGCCAATACTAATGTTGGAGAAGATACGTGTTCTTATCATGTATCTGGATCATATGCACGTATATGCACATATGCATATATATATGAAATGGGTTCATGTGTGCCTCAGGAAACACACACAGGAGAGTTCCCAGAAGACTCTCCAAGCAAATATCAGAAACACACACTACACATGTGAGCAGTAGTGATTTTAGGAAAAATAAATAGGCAGAGTATGTTCCACTACATAACACATGCAGCAGAATCGATGAGATCCGAGAGTAAATGCTAAGCAACGGAAGCCAGAATCTGGCTATAAACATGCAATCTGTGTGATACAAATGAAGGAAAGGGACTTTGGGAAACTCTGCAGTTCTGGAACTACCCTGTTTTCTTCATGGGAGGAAGATGATATGAACGTTAACACCCTGTTTAGCTCGACTCTGTCCATGCTTTTTTATGGTATGTGTTATACATCAATTTATACGATAAAATGTAAAATACCACAGAGCATGAAGAACCCCTCTTGGGAGGTGACGTAGGCCTTATTACACTGAAGGATAAGATAAACTGAAAATGCAGGCTTACTAAATATGATTTGGGATATGTGTGGATATAAGATAAGAGAAAGAAGAGCATTAAGTATAGGGGGCCACATCTGTTAAAGTAGGGGAATCACTGGATTAGAGACTAAGAAACTAGAGTCATGGCTCACGTCTCCCTACAAGACAAGTGTCACCTAGAGCAAGTCACACCATCTGTCTGAACGTTAAGGCTGTCATCTGTCACAAGGGAGTACCTTCCACTTTCTTTCCTGCCCCATTTCACAGATGCACCGTCTTGGGGGTGGGGGATAAGTAGGAAACAAAGTAGGAAACACCCTGTAGACTTTAAATTTTGTTACCTAGATTATCAGCCAGGCCGACAGCTTGGGAATCCGTAGCACTTTCACTTAGCGTCTCTGAATCTGATTGCTCCAGGCTCCACCCTTATTGTGGACTGCAATATAACAGACACAAAAGAGAACACAAACCTGCGATGCTGGAGAATCAACGGTACCCTGGTGGATGATTACTACAGCGATTCCAAACGCATCCAGGAAGGAATTGAGTAGGTACTGGTTTGGGGGCTTCTCTGAAAGCTAGCAAGGGTTACTCCGCCCGTATGAATACACTGCTATCACTGCTTTTGATGGGCAGTTCCCCCAGCCTTTTCATTTCTCCTCTTGCCTTTGTCTTACAATGACCATTCTGTGCTGTGTGCAGTCAGGCGTCTAGCTCTGACAAATCCAAGGTGCTTATGTTTTGAGCTGAGTCGGCATCAGCGACACACCAGCGCTACCGAAGAGAGACAGCATCCGTGTGTGTCAGCTGTCACTCAAATTCGGCCCGTCCCCATTCAGTTCCATTATGAGCTGCTGGCCATGGCGATACTTTGTGCTTTAACAAATAAAGTTTGCCTAAAGATCAGAGTGCTGAGCCAGCCACGAGTTAGCCATGGAGGCCAGGCAGTGGGGATGCACACCTTTAATCCCAGCACTTGGGAGGCAGAGGCAGGTAGATCTGTGCGAGTTTAAGACCACCTGGGCTACACAAGATTGATCCAGTCGAAAGCATAAACAGAGCCGGGTGGTGGTGGATCGCACCTTTAATCCCAGCCCTAGGGAGGTGGAGATGGGAAGTGATATGGCTGGGCAGAGAGAGGAATATACAGCACACACATTAGGATGTAATCTGGGGAAAAAGAAGATGCCCATTGGGGCTGCACATGGGACGGCAATCAGCAGCGCCATACCTTTTTCTGACTGTCCGGATGAAAATAAAAATTTACAATTATAGACTCCGTATATATTGAGTCACTCCAGTACGTATCTTAGAGACAAATATGGCCTAGAGGGGTCTCTAGGAAAAATAAAACAAAACAAAAAAAGCCCCATCTTCTTTCTAGAAGATAAACTCCACCTTACGTTGGGTAAACTTGGCTCCCCTGTTAACGGCTGATTCTTTCTTTCCAGAACCAACTTTTCTTTGAAGGATCACATTTTTTACACAGTGAACATCACATTCTTAGAAGTGAAAATGGAAGACTACGGCCTTCTCTTCACGTGCCACGCTGGAGTATCCACAGCCTACATCATGTTGAAGCTCCCAGGTAATGTCCCGCGAATCACTTGCTGCCCATGGCGTTGAAAATGACAGCCGGGGGAGGCTTACTAAAGAGCAGTGATGTCATCCATTCAGTAGGCGGCAACGGGAGGCACTAAATGGAGAACCCAGAGTACCACTTAGCGAAAGTAGGTGCGGTCTCTTATGGCTGTCTTGAGATAAAGCTGAGATTCTATCAGAGTGATTTTGGCTGGGCCATCTTCATAGACATTGAGATTTTATGCATCAAAATGACAGAAAATGGGGTTGTCCTTTTTTTAACCTAATTGCTCGATGTTGATAATCAGTTATTTGTGATTTTCAAGTTTCACTTCATCAGAATTTTCTATACAAATAAAATGTTTTTTAATTAATTAATTAATTAATTTTTACCGCTTAACTTTGCGACCTTGTCTATAAATCTGATGTCTGAACAAGAGGGCTTCCAACTGCACAGGGCTTTTTTTTTTCTCTTTATCATTTTCAAGGACTGAACATCTCTTTTAGATCTTTTTCTTTTGCTTTTGTCATCTTTACACATGGACAGGATATGCTGTCAGCTCATGACCCTCTCTTATCTGCCTCTTGCTCCTGCTGACAACCGAATGCCTGTCTGGTCTGCCTCCTGTTTTCCTGCTATTTGGAGGATTATTTGAGAGAGTGAAGCCAGCCGGCAGCGTGCAGGGTAAAAACAGACCTTGAGAGTAACTTGAAATAGTGTACAAGAGACATTGTAAAATGCTGTGTGTGTGTGTGTGTGTGTGTGTGTGTGTGTGTAGCTATAGGCATAAGGGAGGACTGAGTTCACTAGAATATAGTGCTATTCAATTAATCACAAGCCGGATGATAGTGGCACAGGTCTTTTAATCCCAGCACTCGGGAGGCAGATGCAGGCAGACCTCTGAGTTCTAGGTTAGCCTGGTCTCCAGAGCAAGTTCCAGGACACTCAGCGATACTGAGAGAAACCCTGTCTCTATAAACAAACAAACAAAATATCAATTAATCACATGTATCAAGGTAAAGCCCATCGGACAAGTTTCTGTAGAACTTGACCAACGTGGCTTTGTTACTACTGACTTCTGATCTTGAGGGATGGGCCATCCCTTCCCTTAGAGTAGCTCCACATAGGGACAGGTCTAAGGCAGGGTACAGTTCGGAGTGTGCACGCTTTCTCTCTTGCTTGCACGACCTGGGGCTAGGCTCACTCTGTCCCTAGTTATGCTAAGTGTGGCTGGGTTTGCAGCACCTGCTTCCTTGCCTTGGTCTCTGGGCCTCACGGCTGGGTTGGATGGGAGGAACATTGGGTTCATCTGGGTCCGCTGGCTGCTTGTCCTTTGCCGGCTTTCAGTTTTGATCACCTTCCTGCTAGTTAGTCTTCTGCACCAGTCATTCTCCCTGGAGGTTCGGGAAGCCCTATGGGTGCGCCTTTTAGTTCTGTATCCCCATCTCAGGCAACCTTTTGATATCCATGATTTCAATGATTACCCTAAGACAGATGCAAAGACACTCTACGCATTCAGCTGTGTTCTCTCTTCATGGCAGCTTTGCCTTTCCTCCCATGTTCTAGTTAAAACTATATTTAATCTCTTAAACCTTGTTTTCTTACCTTTGCCAAACGCACCCCCGTATTTTTCATATACTTCATACGCAAATTCTGACGTCCTCTTGATCCTTTCATTTCCTTATCTCATGACAATGACTGACACACTTGCCCAGTTTTGTAGTCTCCCTCAGGTCTGCCTGCAACTTCTGCCCCACCTATCCACTCTACTAAGTAGCAAGAAGGTGGAGCGCTTCGCACCCAGGACTTAGGCATACGTTTCTATGTTTAAGTCCCGGCTTTAGCATTGGGCATCTACATGACCACCTAGTATCTGAGTTTGCCTGCCTGTTAAGTTGAGAATGACGATAACACCTTCCACACTATTGTGGGGGAAAACGTCTTGAGAACAAACGGGGATTTTCATCTTTATTGTCAAACATAATATACACAGAAAATGTATTACCACGTAACAGTTGAACTGCAAATTAAACGCAAGCGAAGCTACCATCTCTGCCTTAGGGACAACAGGTGAACAGTGCGGGACGGAAAGGCCCCCACGCCCTTCCTGGCCAAGCTTCTCTTTCCTACTTTGACCAATATCTCTCCTGCTTTGAGGAAAGTCACTTCTTTGCTTTGTGATATTTGTTGATCTTTCTAAAAATAGTCTATTTTTGTCTGCTTAGGGGCTTTATATTATGAGTATTAGATGATATTATTTCTTCTGCGACGTGATTCTTTTCTTAGGTGCCTGGGATATGTTGGTTCATTGGTAATGTAGCAAGTAGCTGTGTTTTCACCTGAGTTCTACTCAACAGTCAAGGTCACCTTTCATCGGTTATGTGATAAATATGTGGTTATTTGGACTGTTTCCAGATTGGGACAATGAACAAGTAATGGCACTCTGGAAGTTCCTGAGTGTGCACTCTGGTCCCCATGTGGAAGCATGACTTATGATATATTTTTGAGAGTAGAATTGCTAAATGGCCCTCTGTCATTAGCTTTAGTATATAGTGCCCCATCACCCCACGTGGTGACCGTGCCAGTTCATACTCACTCCCCACAGAGTAGTGTATGAGGGATCAGATGAGATAATTTTACAAAGCAAACACGGAGCCTGACATTCAGTAAGGTCTAAGACATTGGGTTACTCTCGTTGGTACTATTAAGGTCTGGGCTATTATTTTGTGCTATATGCATGATTGTATCAGTTTTCCCTTGCCTGGAGAACTTTCTCTGGTCTAATATAAGTTACTTCCCCAAGGATGACTAAAACCTCACCATCCTCTGACTGGATATCAGTGAGAGTTGTTTCCCCCTGAGATAGAACAGATACTTTGGCTTGGCATTCGTGGCCTTGGTGTACTTCTTGTCCATATCTGTGGTCTGAACTGCAGTGCCAGTCAGACCAGAGCAAAGATCCACCTGCAAAGGCCCCCTATTTTGACGAAGGAGCCTGATTTAATAATCCAGTGAGAATATGGTTTCTCAGCCAAGGAACAGAGAAGAACCTGAAGACATCCCAGTAGTTTCTGGCAGAAAAAAGAGCCTGGTTTAGTTAGGCCAGTGAGTGTGACCCCAGAGAAAAGAGAAAATCCCACCCTATGGAATCCATGATACCCACCATGGTTTCAGTTTCAATTTAACCTAACATGGAAGTTTGTCAGCACCGTTTGGTTACCTAGCCTCAAGACGGTCAATACAGACTCTCTTCGAACTGACTAACTGGAAGCGCTATGCGTGGAAGGATTTTGAGGCCAGGTCCAGGCTCAGGGGGACCGATGTTGTTACCAGTTAGCACCTGTTAGTCGTGTGGGAGGAGGAGGGATTATTTGCTACGTTAGTTTGGACCACTACTTTGGAACCTCTTGCTAAACTTCTCTTGGTTTCTCCAAGCGCTCACTCCACAGCCCCCGTGCAGAGCCGTTTGGGTTGGACGTGTATCCCTTGTTCTGTCTGCCTTGAGTTCTTAGGAACCTCGCCCTCTTGAATCTAAACTCCTTGGTTTATTTGGTGGCAGCTTCTTCATTTGACTTCCTCATTTTTTTTTAAAAAAAATTTTTCTGAAGACACTTCCAGATTTGGATCTTACTTGGTTCCTCTGAAGCAAGATCACTAGAAAGTTGTCTTTTTTTTCCCCTTTCCTTCCATGTCTTTTAATCGCTTCTCCCGCAACTCTCATCTTATCAGAAGGCAGCTGATGGCAGTTACACGAACTCAAATAGCAAATCATTCTTGCTTTTCAGATTTTATTTGTATCTATGCTTTGGTTGTATGCATGTATATATGTGCACTGCATATATGCTCTCGTGCCCATGGGAGTCAGAAGAGGGCATCAGATCTCCTGGAATGTGAGTTCCAGGGAGTTGTGAGCTGCTATGTGGGTGCCAGTAATTGAACCCAGGTCCTTTGAAAGAGCACCCAGTGCACTTAACCACTGAGCCATCTCTCTAGCCCAGACAAGTCACATTCTTAATAAGGGCACTGGTATATCAGCAGTGAGTTTTCCATTTGTTTCTACTTCAGAGCCCCTATACATTTGAGCTTCTTCACTAAGAAGACAATTTCAACACCATCTTTGAGTACATCCACAGAGCACCGCATGGCCATGCTACTCAGCACTAGGATTGGTGAGCTGGAGAGTCTCAGTCCACACTCTCGTTGCCAAGAGTTCTTGACTCCCCGAAGTCCTGTGGGCTTAGTCACCGGATAGTCATATCATGAATTGTGATTCCAAGATCTCTATCATCGGCTTTGACTCTCCCAGATCAGATCCTCCCAAAGGGGAGATGGTGTTGCTCACTGAACTGTGATAAGAGCTGGCGAAGATACGAGAAGATGGGCAGGAGGGGAGACTCCATCTCAGAGTTAGCAGGCAGATGACAAGGTTCTAACGGGGGTGGGGGGATGGGGGGGTGGGACCATAATGGGCAACAGCCTGCGAGCAGAGCAGTCTTTACTGGCGGCACCAGGGCTTACTCAGTGGACTGTTTTGGGGAGAGGGTGGTACCTTGTGTGTATTTTTTTAATCATTGTACTTGAGTGTGCTATTAGATCTCCAGACATGTGGAAACATGCAGGAAGTCTTGGGCCTTGAGATGTTTACTATGTGTGTGTTTCCTGGGGGAGGATTTGATAAAGCTCCTTCGTGAAGATTTGTCAACTCAAAGTATTTGTTCTGGGAAATCCAAAGAAAGGTGTCTCCTCCTCACACATCCCCCCACTACCCCACTCCAGACCCCACCACAGACCTCCTGGGGTGTGTGGACAATCGGAATGTGCTAATGTAGGAAGTGGTTGGAGAGGTGGCTTCCCTTGCTTTATTCCCTCATTCCAAGGCAGCCCCGTTGGGGTTGTGGCAAGGTAGGGCGCTGCGTGGTTCCTCTTCTTGGTGTCCAGAGCTGTTCTGGAAGTAACCCTGACTTCCCTTTTGGAGTGACTGCTTCTTCACCAGCTGTCTGCTCGCTTGCCTGTTGTTGGAAATGCTCTGTAGCATGCTCCCATGGCAGAACCGGCAATGGGTACCACTTCAGGGCCTCTTGACAGACACCAACACTGACATTAGGTGCCCTGGGACGCGCGCGCGGTGTGAGGCCTGTCTTATTACTGGTCTGGTGGAGCCAGCACAGTTGGTTTCTGGGTAGAGGGGTCAATTTATTTTTTTAACTATTTTCACCAGGAGTCCCTCTGCTTAATGCTGAGGATCTAGAGAAGCAGGATGGTAGAACTGTAATCCAGAATCTCCAGGGGAAACCCCGGGGGACATTCCAGATATGGTCAGAGTGTACCCTGCAAAGGCACCTGGGCCCACATGCTCTGAGACAGTTCCCATGTGTCTGGAGTCCTGTTGCTCCTGTGTCCATACCTAAGACTTAATGGTTTTTAGAGAGTTCATTTGTTCCCAGGCTCCACAGCCCACACTGAAATTAGCCCAACTCTCATACTCACAAGGAAACTCGGAGACGCGTGTACCCAGTGTCCTCATGTTTCCCACCTGGCTTTGGCGAAGAGGAGAGCACTAACCTCCTGCCATTGGCTTTTCCCCGTCGTGTTTGCAGCTCCAGACTTCCGGGCTTACCTCATAGGCGGGCTCATGGCGTTCCTGCTTTCGGTCGTGTCTCTCCTGTGCGTCTACAACAGTTTTAAGATTGACATCGTGCTTTGGTATAGAAGCACCTTCCACTCTTCCCAACCCCCAGACGGTGAGTATATGTGGTCTTTGAGAAAATAAAATGCCTCCAAATCGCTGCCCGCTCCTCTGTGTCGCGCCCTTTTAAAGCTCTTCTCATGAAGTGAGTCTGTCTTCTGGCTGGAAAGTTTAGCGTGCAGCGTGTCAGGAGAACGTAGTACGCTTCAGAGAAATGGTTTGTGCGGGATGATCAGCCGTCCCTGCGGAACAAGTGAGGAGGCGGGTAGGGCCCTGGAAACAGCCGCTAGGAAGCAGCAGCAAGTGGCAGTGGACCATGCTGGTCCTTGATGTCCAGGTGTGAGAAGGGGTCTCGTTTTCTGGGCCTGTGAAGTAAGGAAATGTTTGCAAGGAACAAAGGCTGTCTGACAGGATGTGCGTTTCACCCCCAAAGCGCAGGAGGAGATAGGGTAAGACGGTGTATGTGTGGGCGATCTCTCTCTAAACCCTGTACCTGTAAACCCTAATTTACATCTTTGGGTGAGATTAGAAAGGTATTTTCTTCTTTCTTTCAGCCACAGAAGGAGGTCCACAGAGAGGAAGGGAGGGAGGAAAAGGGGGAAGGGAATAAAGGGAAAGAAAACACCTGTCTCTGGCCTTGCTGAAGGAATCACCAGCCTGGGGCTGAAAACAGCTCTCAGCAGGAGCCTGAGGCACAGGCCCTTTCATTGCTCCTTGGGGAGAAGTTGGGGTGGGGGGGGGAGGGCTAAATACTGTCTTTCCTTGTTCTGCCCTTTCCAGTAGTGGTGTCTGTGTCTGGACACCATTTTTTTTTTTTTTTGACACAGAAATGTCTTCCTGTGTTCCAGAGCTGACATTTCTCTCCATTCTATTTGTAAGAAAATGTAATGATTATTATTATTATTATTTCTGTCTCAGAATGAACGTGATCTACTAGGGCCCCGTAAAATACAAACCAATCTGCGTTGATGTCCGCTATTTGCCTATACACATGAATAAAAATGAAAAAGAAATCTACACAAGCGTGGAGAGGAATAAATCTAGACCTTTCCAGGCGAGGCATTTTTCTTGAACAGGAGCAAGAGTGGGGGAACTCAGAACCTAGACACATTCATGAGTGGAGACTCTATGAAAATACCATTTATTCTCAGCAGCTGCTCCTGCATATAAGCTGCCCCACAAGTTATGGTCTACATGTCTGATAAAACACAGATGCCGTAATTCAAGCTGTATTTGACTAAGTGTCAGGATTCAAAATTGGTAAGGCAGAGCCTGGTGGTGATGTTGAGATGCGGCCATAACCATTGCCTGGCCAGCCCAATCCAACTTGAGGCGCTCGAGGCCCTGTGGAGCTTCAGGCTAAGCATGGTTAGTTAGCAAAGAAGCCTTCTTGACTCTGCCCTGGCCACTGTCCCTCTGCCCTGTGAGGAGAGGGCTCAGCACCACACCTCCTTCTTCTTCCGACACAGATAGGAGTGACTTGCCTTCTGGGTTTACTCAGAGAGTCTGACATTATTCCATGTGGTCTTTCTAGAACCTCCGGCCCCTCTGGCCCCTTGGCATTTGTGCCTCTGACTCACGGCAACTCCCAGGAGTGTGACTACTGCCTTGACTTATGGCGTGCAGATAGCATGGTAGAGCTGCCTGCTAGAGACATCGAGTTTGTCAGAGGGAAGGATGACTCACGACAGCAAAGCAGGGGAGCCCAATAAATGACACATCAGGACCTCACCCTCCCCGAGATCAGCACAGCCCAGACTGCACAGCCAGGGGGTGGTGGCTTTGGATACTGGAGCTGATAGCCAGGTTTTCTTTGCTGTTATTTTTAAATTCTGAAGTGTGTGCTTTGATATCCCCATATTTCCATCTGTTTAAACTACCGAGTATTAGAACGTTGAACAAGGGCTCTAAAAGGAGCCAACGATGAGCCTCTGAGGTTGATCCTGTATCCTGCTCAGAGGTTTGACTCTCTTGAGAGAATTTTCTGGAACATATTCAGTATAGGAAATATGGATGTAAAAGAGAGAGAAATTGTCCTTCTTGGCAAAGTTTACTGGAACCGGTTAGTCAGGCTTTGCCGTGAGTAGGTCAAGGTAATTGACCTACAATGTACACTATGACAGCTGTCCACAGACCTGACAGAAGACGGGGAGCTCTGCCTTTCTCTGCTGCCATGGGCGCTTTCAGAACTGGCCTGTTAGGTGTGGCGGTATCTGCAAGATGAGAAAGGTCAGTGACAGGTCGTTTGACAACTATGTGTGCTTTGGTTCCATCCAGACCGATGGGCAGTGTGCACACAGAACGCAGCAGTTAGAACCAACCCAGCAGGTGCACAAGAAAGCCAAGGGCAGAAAGACAAGCGAAACAAGCTGCAGAGTTGAGGAGAGGTCTTGGGCTCTAACGGTGAATCTGCTTTCGTACCTAAAGCCAAGTCAGTTAATTCTGGATTTTCCCACAAATGTTTCTGTGGTCCATGAAATAACATAGATCATTCTGGGACTCGTTTCCAAAGACGGCTTCCTGGAGAGTCCTCATTTACATTCGCTAGCGTCATGTAAGGAATCTGGCTTTCCATATTCCCAAAGTAAATATGATTATGTGTTTTACGTGGCTTTTCTTCTAGTGTCCTCTATACATGCCAGGGGTAGAAACACCATTCAGTCCTGAGGCTACTCGGTAGAGAACCTTACATAGAGTATCTTTTAAAATTCGAGTTTCATCCATCAACCCTGCTGATTTTATCGCTGCTCTGAGTTTGTCAGGCATAAAAATTGGCAATGTTGAATTAAGAGAACAGAACTGAAGAAACATTAGGTAATTTTTAAACAGTGATCAGCCTATGAAGATGATCTTGTTTGGGCTTTACAAACAGCCCATAGAGGCTGTACAAATGTTTTTACCTGAAGGAATGATGTAATAGCCTCAGAAAATACAAGAGCTTGGCCAGGACAGAAATACATTGCCACCCCCACTTTCGAGAGAGGTGGGTATTGGGAACAGCAACCAGTACAATGGAGTCTCCTCAGAACAGCCACCTGAAATTCTAGAAAATTCTGGGAGGTAAACCAGCAGGTCATCTGCTGCTCTCTGTCGCTTGCTTCCTCCTGCGCTGCTGCTCCTGTGACTACGTGTGGGAGACGAGTCACCTTGGAACTTCACTGTGCACAACAGCCATCCCTCGTGCTTGTGTGTGTTGTGGGCTGTGCAGATGTTCGCGGGGGGGGGGGGCGGGGGTCTGAGGCCTCAGCTGGATGACTGGCAGCCACCCTTTCCTCAGTGCCTTCCCACAAGGGCATCTCTTGTCAGTGTCTCACAGAGGTGGGCTTCCTTGAAGTACAATGTTGGCTTTCTGGAGACAGGCCAAAGCTTCGTTTGCTTGTGTTTTCTGGAGCTGAGGGGTTTTTGTTTTTTGTTTTTGGTGTCAGTCCCATTGTACACAGCTTCGGAAAACCACACAATTCTACAGGAGTGGAATTGCACATTACTTCTTTGTGCGAGATGGCATACTTCTAGAAAAAAAAAATAACAGAAGTGTTTCTGTCATTTGCGATGGAGCTGGATAGGGCGAGGCATGGAGAAATCTGTCCTCGGTTTTCTGATTCAGAGTCTTGTTTGGTGACATCAGGGGAAATGAGCAGCTTGGGCCTAGAAAATTCTGTGCACCTTTGAGAAATCATGCAGCCGTGTTGATCCCAGCTTCCTGCTCAGAATTGTAGGGTTCAAGTGTATCTCTCGCAGCTAGCCAGGAAGTTCCTGATGTTGCTATCTGATCCTGTCTTTTAAACAGCAGAGGATGTTAGCAGAGATGTACATAGGGGCTGTAGAGATGGCTCAGTGATCAACATAGTGACATCTCTTCTAGAAGGCCCTGGTTTGATTCCCTGAACCCACACTCGAGGGGACAACTGTCTATTGTTTTCAGTTTCAGGCGTCTGATGCCCTCTTGCCCTCTTCTGGCCTCCTTGGGCACTGCATGCATGTGTAAAACAGGTCAACTGCCCCAGGCACATGAAATAAAATAATAATAGTTATTAGAAATCTGAGGGTTGTAACCAAAAAACCCAGATGTGGATTACAGGTGGGTCTCTGAGGGTGGTGAAAGCCCAGTACATGCGGGGAACAAGTCTATAATCTTACCAGATTTTGGTCTGAGGGTTAACGATACAGCTAGCTCACGGGTTAAGCACATTCACCACCCTGGGTTTAGTTTCAAGCATGCTTAGGAAAAAAGACATGATAATTGGGGGCTTGCTTTGTTTTGGGTTTTCCAGACACACGAGACTTTGTGCCACCAGATCCCTCTCCATCTGTTCCGAGTATGGCGAGCTGGAGACCAAGGAGAACTTATGTCCTCTGATGCCTTGTTTCCAAAGAGTACAGGATTCTGCCACAAGAGAAAACATCTGGCCAATACAGTTCCTTTTGTTTGCTATTTAAGGGAAGCCAGTGGAAGGAGAATGAGAAACTATGAGGAGATGCCAGGGGCTGTGCCGGGGCTGGGGATGATAAATTTGGGTACCAACCTGGGAACTGCATTTCCCATGGAGGATACTTCCTGCTATACTTGGGGCATCAAGGAGCCAACAGCTCCCAAGGGATGCAAGTCTAAACCCATCTAAATCCTTACATGGGAAGGTTCGGTTCCTTCATAAACAGACAAGAAATAAGAACTTATGAGATCCCTGCTTTTCTCTTTATTCTTTTTTTTTCACCCTCAAACAAACAACACCCAAACCTTGAACTTTGGCAAGTCATATATTTAGCATTAAATTTTGTACAGAAAAAGTTAGCTGTTTTATATCTGGTGACCTTGAGCATGTCACAGGAGCCTTGGCTGTGTTGGGTTTGATTGTCTCCAAACACAAATCAGTCCCCTAGCACCTGCCTATGATCCCAAAGCTGAATCTGCTTGTGGCCCAGACCCTCCTTAGCCCCGACTTTGGTTCCCATTGTCGAGTTCCCTGAAGATGTTTGGTTAGTACTGATGGAGGTCTCCGCTGTAGAAGACCCCAATAGCTCTCTCTACAGCAGCCTCCTTGCATGGCAGTGGTCAGGGAAGCAGAAACATCTGTGCTGGATTCTTGCTAATCTTCTGCTCTTAGATCCTCATTCCCCACCCCGCCCCATCTCTCCCCACTGTTTCACACCCAGCAGCTGTTCTATACCCTCTATGAATATTGTCTATCAAGAATTACAGTCAATGAGAATTTTTTTTGTTTGTATGTTCCTTTGGCTGTTGTCATCTTAAATGTCATATACCATTTTATCTTGTTTGTGAGGGGTGCACAGAGTCAAGTGGTGTGTCTTTTTCACATTTACCCTGGTGAACACAGTGATGGGTCTTGTAGCTGCCCAGGAAACCCTTGTCCACGATGGACATGTTGCCCACATGTGCTGTAGTAATGGACTCCTCAGTGATACAGGGCACATTTGGAGTCCCCTGAGGCTTCTTCTGTCTATGACGAATTTTCTGGTGTGCTCAGTTAGGAGGGACCCAACCCATTTGGCTTGGGATCGTCTGTACAGGTCTCCATTGCCCATATCTCCTATTAATGGGTCCCAGACTCCGAGGTCTCTTTTTCAGCCCCACCACAGGCAGTGGGAGACTTATGATGCAATTAGCAATTGCAGAAATGGTACCACCTGTTCGGGCTAGATTTTATTCTCCTTTAGTGAGGATGAGACAGGTCTCTCATGGGTCAGTTGTAAGAGTGCAGTATGGTAGCGTGGAATGCCAAGACATGGGCCACACAAAGGTCATTGAACCCAGGCTGAAGTGTATCACAGCAGTGATCTGGCGTTCACTTTGTGTACTTGAGAGATCTGCTTCAGTCATTCCGTGAGCTCGCTTCTTCTTCCTTCCAGATGAGAAGCTGTATGACGCCTATGTCTTATACCCCAAGTGCCCAACAGAGAGCCAGGGCCGTGATGTGGACACAATGGCGTTGAGGATCCTGCCTGAGGTGCTGGAGAAGCAGTGTGGATATAAGCTATTTATATTCGGCAGGGATGAAGTCCCTGGACAAGGTATGTTTTCCCGGAGGCATTAGACAACAAATGACAAAAATAAGAGGCCACACTTGTGATCCCAGCACTGGGGAGGCTGAGCCAAGACGAATGCAATACAGGGCCAGTTGGGGCTGTCTGTAGAGACCCTATCTCAAACAAAAGAAACTTTTTTCCTTTCTTTTCCCATTCCTTCCTCTCCCTACCTCTCTTTCATGTTACAAATGTCCCTTGAACATGGGGCTTTCAAAAGTCTATGTGTAGAGCCTCCTGGTCCCACTACCACTTACATTCAGAAGTCAGGCCTTTTGCTTTATTAGGTATAGTGCTACAACAGAATGTTAGGGAATCCTGGCTTCAGTCACATGAGTCTCTTTGGCCCAGAGATACAGTTCATCCATTCATAGGAACAAGCAGCAGTCTTGGTGAAAGCTGGAAAAAGTCACGTGGTCATTTACTTTGCTGTCACCGAGAATAACTGTGGTCTAGTTTCTCATTAGTCCAAATATGCAAATACCGTGATGTTTAAAGTTGATTTTTGTACCAGGCCTTTTCTTTTGGGCCTCCAACCAGCTCCCAAATCATGACACAGAGACTCCTTATTAGTTATGAATGCTCGACTTTATCTTATGCTTATCCCACTAGCTCTTATAACTTAACCTGTTTCTCTTCATCTACATTTTGCCTCAGGGCTTTTTTTTTTTTTTTACCTTCCTTTCTTTCCTTCTGTAAGTCTTCTTTCCGGCTATTTCCTTACTGTTGGTCCTGCTGTCTGCATGTCTCCTGACTGCTGCCTGGCTTCTGACCTCAGGCTTGCCCCTAGCTCTCTCCCTTTCTCTTCTTCTCTTTGCTCTTCCTCTTTACTCTCTTTGCCTGCCAGCCCCTTCTGTTCCTCCTCTGCCTAGCTATTGGCTGTTCAGGTTTTTATTTAACCAATCAGGTGCCTCAGGCAGGCAAGGTAAAACACAACACATCTGTACATTGTTAAACAAATGAAACATAAAGAAATGTAACACGTCTTTACATTGTTAAACAAATGCAGCATAGACAAATGTAACACGCCTTTATACAGTTAAAGTAATATTCTGTAGCATAAACAATGTAACACATTTTTGCCTAGTTAAAATATCATTCCACAGTAGATTTTATACACCATAAGTTATGCCATCTTTTCCCTTGTATAAGATACTTTCCTGTTGCTGCAATAAAACACCCCGCTAGATAGTCTTGGGGCAAGAGACATACCAAGAGATAACAGAACAGAATGTAACCACCAAATGGAGCCCTGCCCAGAACAGTTGGTAATGAAAGTTAATCCACCTGTGCCTCAATCTTGCCTACTTGAAAGTCTTTTTTCCCTGTGCCCATTTCTCCTATTTCCAGTAGCGTTATAGCCTTGCTGTTTTCTTGCATGGCCTTCTGAATCCTTCTTCTCCATTCCAGCTGTGGCCAACGTCATTGATGAAAACATTAAACTGTGTAGGAGACTGATGGTGCTTGTGGCCCCAGAATCTTCCAGCTTCAGCTTTCTAAAGGGCTTGTCAGAAGAGCAAATCGCCGTCTACAACGCCCTAATCCAGGATGGCATGAAGGTCATCCTGATCGAATTGGAGAAGATCAAGGACTACAGCACCATGCCTGAGTCCATTCAGTACATCCGACAGAAGCATGGGGCCATCCGGTGGCACGGGGACTTTACAGAGCGGTCACAGTGTGCCAAGACCAAGTTCTGGAAGAAAGTAAGATACCATATGCCATGCAGAAGGTATCCACCATCTTCCTCAGTCCAGCTGCTGAGGCACACGCCCTGCAACTGCACAGCAGGCAAGTGGGATGCTGCCACTGGGCTCATAAGTTCCTGACTGAGAGTAGTTGGTGTGTGTTGGATCACAGTGACATCCTCTTTGGGTTGTCTACCCATGCAGCTTGCTCTTTTGTGTTGTGAGTGACCTTGTTCTTGTTGTTGGTTGATGCTTTTAATTAGACCAGTTTCTTTAGTGCTCCTGTTTGCACCACAGCTCCTGAACACCCATATAAGCTCCTGAGAGTGGGGTACCTATGGAACTCAGCCTCCATGCCTGTGGGATACAGTGGATGGTCAGGATGACAGAGCAGATGGCAAGGATGCTTGGTCCATGTTTGGGATGGGAGACTGAGCAGTCTGGAGATGCCAAGTGGGCAGCCTTTGGGAAGGCCAGCAAGGATGGTAGCACAATATCTATGCTTGTCTAGTATCTAGTAGGCTTTGGGCCCTCGGCAGTGTAGATTGTATCTAATTTCCTTCTCTCTCCCACTGCAGTTAGATAACGATGCCCCCAGGAACCACTTAAATATCACCCGGACCAAAGGACTCTAAGCTTTGAAAGATAATCTGTCAAAATGAATTAAAAAAAACTTTCACTTTTTAAAGATGCTTTGTCTGCCAGAAATCTGTGGAATAGTTGAGAGATATGAATTACAGCTCCGAGGTGATGTGGTTCTAACCCCAGTAAATCTATGTGAGCTTTGGGTTAGTGAGTGCGCCCTTTATCACGGGCAGTATAGGAATGCATAGTTCATCCAGTGTTTTGATGCTAAACAGGGCTGTCAACCACGGCTACTATTTCTCAAGGCCCAGCTGGGAAAAATCAACTCCAGTCCAACTCTACTAAGCTGTGGTTAACACGCATGCTGCTTCTTGGGCAATCGTGAACAAATGTCTATTTACCTCAGATAAGTAGGGTGCTGGACACAAATCATGAAAACAATTCCACAGAAGTCTAGATTAATGGAGCAGTCATTTTCCTGGGGTTTCTTGAAGGGCTGAGGGTGAGGAGTGAGTTCCAAGAGCATGGGCAAGTCAAAGACAACTACATCTTGGAAAAGCCCACCGAGCGTGGAGCGTGGTGAGAGCGTAAGACAGCTGAATCCCTAGAGCTCTGTGAAGCGTTCGTAATAGCCACTGTTTCTCTCCTAGCAGCTCTTTCTGCTTCTATAGCCACAAAGCACAGGCTTGTGACTCTTTCTGGCTTTCCCGAGGACTGAGGAACCTACTTAGAAAAGAAGTTGCAGAAGTTTGGGGGAGATAACTACGTAATGGAAACACTGGGGATTAATAAGTGAGCCTTAATGAGGAGGGAGTGGGAGGGGCCACCAGGCCACAGGCAGGATGGAAAGGCCTGGGAGGAGAGGGAGAAGGAGGAAGAGCTGGTAGAGTGGAAGGCTTCATGGGAAGTCCATCTTTCTGCTTGAGAATTCATCAAGGCAGGCTGGCGTTGTGGCAACCATATCTTTACTTGAGACTTGAAACTGGACCTCACTTTAATACTTTTTATTTAAAAAAAATTAACTATGGTAAGATATAACACTAGTCATTTTTAAGTCGAATTGTTACGCGAGGCCATTAAGTATTTTCATGTTGACACAACCATCATCACCATCCTCTGAGACCTTTTCATCCTAGCAGACAGAAACTCTGTTCTCAGTGAATATCTTCTCTCTCCTCCCGTCCTCCCTGGCCCCTGGAAATCACCATTCCACCTCCCATCCCTGTGAATCTGACTATTCTAGGAACTTCCAATAAGAGACCTCATTTGGTATTTCTCATTTTGTGGCTGACTTCTTCCAGGTACCACAGTATCCTCAGGTGCCCTCAAGGCTCGTCCGTGAGATCCACCTTTCGATTCACCATCACCGCTAGTCTGTCTGTCTCTTCTTTTTCTTCCTCCTTTCTCAAAGAGCATGGAACACAGATGCTTTTGAATGCCCCCGGAGTGAGGAGCTCATCAAAGCTCTCTCAAGGCACCTGCCTGTGGCATTTTGCTTTTCAGCTTATCTTTGCATCACGGGAATCTAACTCCCTGTAAAGGATTCGCGGGTTCAAGTACAGTCAGGTATTTGTTGTTTCCAAGGGATGTCCCTGACTGCTTCTTCATTCTGTCCTCCTCACCCTCCATGGGTCTGTGCTTCTGGCTGGTTCCTGGAAATTGCCAGCAATACTGGTGGAACCCAGGGACGGGGCTGACTAACGGGGCAGCCTTTTCTTGTGTGGAGCCCAGGACACAGAGCCCGTCTAATGGGTTCCAGGCACACGAGGTGGTGACATCTGCCAGTATGATTCCCAGGCAGGACGATCTCCTTTTTTAGGTAAATGATCAACCACCGGTCCTTTGGTGAGGACATGGGGGATGTCTAGATTTGAACTCTTACTTCCTTGGTTATCTCTCTCTGAAAGACTCAGGGAGATAGTAGCTGATGCCCTGTCAGGATCAGGGCAGACAAACCAAACCACCTCATCAGAAGAAAATGTTTTCTGAAAATCCCTGACTTTGTGAGGCCAACTGTGCTGAAATTTTTAACCTGATTTTTTTTTTACAGTCACGAAGCTTTCCTCTCGCCTACATGTCCTAATTTTCCTTTTGCTTAAAATTAAAAAAAGATGTATTATGAATGCTAAAATGTGAACTATTATATCAGCACATTGACATTTTTATTAAAGAATATTTTAATAAAACACAAGAGCTCCTTTTCTTGAAGGAATTACCACCTCATATGTTTGAACACCTGGCATGTGCCCTGGAGTCGAATGCATTCTTGTTTGTAGGCCATTGCTCTGATGCGGGATTTGTGAAAGCAGAGACCCGTATTTTAAAGATGGACGAGGTTCACTCTACAGCAGGAAGCCCCGTTCTCTTTGACAGTGACTCCCCTTTGATAATTTGATAAAGAGACCATCTTAACTCTACTTACAGAAGGGTGTTGGCTTTTTTTACAGACTTTCAGTGAGATTTACATCAGGCCCATGGGATCCACACCCCAAACTCTCTATTGGTACTGTATTTATAAAACAGGTAATGGCACATTTTCTACAGAATTCTGGGTGACAGACCAGTGTTTAGGAAGTGAGTCACTTGGAGTCTTCTTAGGAATTAATTGGAAAAGAGCGGCCTCGAAGTTCAGTCGTGTTTAATGAGTCATCTAGCCTAGAGATGTCCAACTAGTGTGTCACAAATGAGTTTCAAGACTCCTGGGGCACAGCATCCCCCATTATCTGCAGAGGAGCTGGTCCAAGAACCCCAGTGGGTGCTCCAAACTGGATAGTGCTGAACTCAGTATAGGATACATTTTTCATGCACATATAAACATTTATATATTTAATGTGTTTAATATATAAATATGTGTTTAAGGTATCCTTTAGAAACAAAATAGTGAGAACAAAATCAAACATTTTTAGCAACATAGCCTGTTATAAAATATATGTGAGCGTGGACTCTCTCTGTCTTCATAAACATCCCATCATACTGAAGGCACCTGTCACTCTGTGCTGAAGTGATGCTACCATCCTCAGTTGACTGAGTAGCTAAAACCTTAGAACACGAGACCACAGATGAAGACGGCTATCGTAGTGCCTCCTGGTATATTCAGAATCTTGGCCTCATCTGTTTGTACCCATGACTGTGTTTACCGGGCAGGAAAAAGATAAGGCTACTCACCCTCTGTTCCAGCTGTTTTAATTTATCATGGAAGAAACTGAGGCCCAGAGAAGTGAAGTGAGTGATTGGGGACTCCCGGGACTCTGCAGCAGAGGGCCATTGGCTGGTTTAGGTCCCTCAGAAGGTATGCCAAACCTCTCGCCCCCATGACCCTGGCTGCTGGTTGGAATTCTGCAGATCTCTGAGAGTGATGGGGCCTCCCTTGACCTCTGGACTTGACCCAGAGACTAAGGTGGTGGAAAAATCAATGGTCAACAAAAGTCAACCTGAGACCATGACTCTCAAGTCCGTTACTTTGTATAGATGAGAAGCAAAGACAATGATATTGGAGAGTGAGCAAGAAGCAGTCGTTTTCCTGAGAAGAGGGTGGAAGGGATGGAGGCTTCAAGAGTGGGAAGGGTCCCGAGGGAGCTGTCACCAAGCTTCTTGCCCAAGAACTCATGTCAGAAGCTGGGCAATGATTGATGTAATTTCTATTAAGATTCGTTGATTCTCTGAGTGTATCATAGGCGGACCCAATGGGAAATGGGAGGCCTGCATATTCTTCGCATGTTCTCTTGACCTGAGCAAGGAGATGACTACACGCTGTTTGCCCTATCAGGGACTAATCCTGTGTCTTGTTCACCCTTATCCATTCTTTCTTGATCTTGGCCGGGATGGCTAGCCCTTGCTCTTGCCTAGGTGTTCTAGATGCTAATTAAACCATGCTTTCTCTGTTCTCACCTTTCCATGACCAGCTGGTAGTTGACCAGGACCACTGCCTGTTCTGGACGCGGGGAATTAACAACTAACCCCTATCACAGTTACCGAGATAACTACCATCTTCCTTGGGCGCCTCATCCACAGGGTAATCTGCTCTCTGTCCTAGAGTAGGTGGAGGTTTTTATTCCCTCTGCTGCTGCTGTGAAGCCATGCTGTGTATGTTCCTCATGGGGGCTCAGTCAGGGTCCGCCAGAGCCTGCCAGGACTGACTTTGTTGTCTTGCCTACAGCCTTGTTCTTTCTCCTCTCTGGTCAGCATGGCTACCTCACACTCAGCTGCAAACAATCCTTATTTACCTTCCTTAGCATTGTTGGCCTTGTTGGTTGAATCGAAACACTCCTTTTAACTTCAACGCCTGCTTTCGCTGCTGCAGAACTGCACAGCTAATACCATAAAAATCTGGAAACCGAATTCCAGAAGTGCACAGTATGCCTCTGATTTCTCTTCATTTGCTCACCGTTTAGGAGTTTATCAATTTTTGTTCTGTGTTGTCTTGCCCAGTGGTGGACAAACTAACTGGTAGCACTTGAATACTCGTGGGATTCAGCATCTAGGTCTGAGGATGTTCTGAATGCCTCTGTGTTTCACAAATAGATGCTTCCAGAGTTCTGGGGATTTTTTTAAAAAAAGATGAATGGTGTTAATGAGTGAGCCTGTGTACCAATTATTGATCTCTTGACACAAACTTCTAGGATACATATCTGAGACAAACCTTTAACATAGGGCATGAAGTCAACTGAGGTTCACCCTATTGCCTAGGGCACTGCTTCCTCCTGGCATCCTTCAGACCCAGGGTTTGTGTGCCTGGTGGTGTGGAGAGCAAGGGAGTCTTCAGGGTCAACCTCACCACCTTCATGTACCTGGGTGGGGGAGGGGAGGGGAAAGAGAGGGAGGGAGCAAGGGCTGCCAAGATGCTGATCAGCATCCCTGTGTGAAGGGGAGCATGCTCATTCCTGCATACAAGGCCAGTGGGACCTGGTGCAGATCTACAGGGCATCCGAGGAAACGCCTGTGACAGGGCAGTCTGTGCTGCTGTGTCCAGAGCTGAAATGGAGGCGGGGCCGAGAGAGGTGAGCATCTCAGAGAGAAGGTGAAACACAGGTGCTGAGCCCCTGGGTCACTCTGCAGTGACTAAGTCAGTCATAAACCCCACTTTCTTGTGGTCAGTTCACCACGGTTTGTTGGTGAAAAGAGCCTGAGAGTGGGATTAGGCCGGTACGATCTTTACCCAGAAGACCGATTGGATTAAAAAATATAGATTTACATATGCAAGCTGAGTGTGACGGTGTGGAGTGTAATTCCAATGCCAGAGAGCCTGAGGCAGGGGGATTGTGAGCTCAAGGTGGTTACCTAGGAAGGCTCTGTCTTGAGAAGGCAAACGATAGACAAACAGAAGCTACTTACTTGAGAGCTCTTGGCTGACCCCATGCGACCCTGGGGAGATCTATAGGTGGGGGCTGCATCTGAGTTTCTGCTCTCCGTGTTTGGGGCCCTGTGGTGACTCAGATGGTTTTCTGCAGTGTCATAAGTGACTGACCTTTCCCCAGGTCGGGGCCCCGCTTTCCATTTATAAACTTTCCTCAAACACATGCTTGTCTGGTGAGAGAACGCAGGATGTGTTTAGAGATGGAGAAAGTGGAAAATTCCTTTCTGTTCTTTGGATGACAAATACACAAAGTCTGCTCCATATCCCGGCACTGAGTGCTGCCATGTGTTGGGGCTCGATTAGTTTTCCTGGACCATTGAAAGTTGGAACGCTGAGTGCTGACTCCGAGCCTCACATACCCAGAATGCATCTGGGGAGCCCGCTAGCTGCTTTAGTGCAAGGACTTCTTGGCCCGCTACTTATCTGTAACAGATTCCCAATTTGGGGGAAAAAAAACCCAAAGCCCCAGGTTTCTCCCCCTCATCGGTCTCTCACTCCGCTGCTGATGCTTAGCTTTGCATGAGTACCTAACCACTTCTTAAGAAGGGCGCCCAGGGGGTGCCCTGTTGTGGGGGTTAGACTAGGAAACAGAATTTCCTGCTCCCACCCTGAGTCGTGTGTGCAGCTCCGCCTCCAAGCATCCCAGAAAAGGACCCTGCATCTCATTCTCCAGGTCAGGCTCAGATGTGCGGTCGCCCACTTGTTCCACCACACCTTGTGTTACTGTATCCCCTTTCTTTTCTAAGCCAGCAAGACAGTGTGGAGGTGCAGAAGCCAGACTCCAAGTTTTGAGCTAACACACGCGCATCAACCATCATGAAAGCCCTCACAATGTTTAAACTGCGAAGAAGTGCTTGGGGAAAATACACGCTTTTATTTCGCACTCAGTGTATCCGTGCAAACCCCGAGGCATTAAAAACGAAGTTGGCTCTGTGCTCTCTGTTCTATTTTGTTTAGGTAACTTCAACAAACTCTTGCTTTGCCGGTGTTATTTGTAACCTTTTCGTTATCTGACTGGGTGCCAGTCAGCGCTCTTTCCAATGAACACAATTTTTTGCTGCTGTAAAAAAAATGACATCAAGAGGGGAAAAAAGCAGTCCCGTGGGCGGGGAACCTTGAGAAAGAAAAGCCAAGAGGCCAGGGAAAAAAAAATCATGCCTGAATTTGCCAGAGCAGAATGAAGATTCCACTTGGCATCACCCCACGGCTCTGTGGCGCCCTCTTGTGGCGATTACGGAAACGCTTTTGCTCCCGTCACCGACTGAGTCCTTCCACCCATCAGAATGGGCTGGCTCTCTGGGTAGGTGAATAGGCAGGACACACCCGCTTCTAGAAGGTTCTCGGACCCCCCCCCCCCCATGAGTCACTTTTTCTAAGCTAAATTGGGTTTCTGCTCAGAGAAGCCACGCTGCTTCTGTTAAATCACATCACGTTTAAGACACCTTGTGTGAAAATGTTCTCAATGAACACTAGCATGTTGTAAACACAGGTAAGGACCACACCTAGTTAAGCTTTCTGATCTTTGGGGCTGGGTCTTGGAATATTTAAATATGCATAATGAGATACCTTGGGACCACACCTAGTTAAGCTTTCTGATCTTTGGGGCTGGGTCTTGGAATATTTAAATATGCATAATGAGATACCTGGATCCCGAGTGTGATAATGAATTTATGTATTTATGTTCTGTATATGTCACATACCCACAACCTCCAGCTAATTTAGTTTATATGTTCAGTTCATTTTGATTTCTTATCTCTGGAGGGCAGGCGGGCTTTTCTGTAACGACGTGTCAATGAGAAAAATGTTGTAGATTTGAGAGAATTTAAGATTCTTGATTTTTTTTCAGGCTAGTGACACTCAGCCTGTATGCTATAATAATTCCTATTGCACTAATACCATTTTTTATTGCTGCATTGACATTAGCCACGATAGCAGCTGATGCTCACGGGGCAGCCATTCTCCACTATGCTTTATACATGGAAATACCTTGCCAGGTCTACGAGTCAGGAGCCTCAGGGATTCTACTTGCAGATGAGGAAGAGGAAGCCCAGTGCTGTGCCAGAGGCAGCTTTGGAATCAAAGTACTTTGACTCAAGGTACCCAGCCTGGTGGGCCTCAGTGTTCCGTTGCTGCAGCCTTGAGAGAGGGCTTGCAAGGAGCTGCTGGAGCCAGGGCAGAGTCCTTAAGGCACGACAGCCAGATGTGCCCAACCTTTCCTGCTGTGTCAGGGTCTCATCTACCACGTTCATGCTGAAAACCATGCAGACAAATTACAAAAACCAAGCACCCCTAAGTCTCATAACATTGGAAGGTAATTTATGGTTCCGTATTGAGCATATACATAGGGATCATTAGTCACACAGAGTGACTGGTTATTGTCATTGAGTCTATGTGAGCCTGGGAAGTTCTAGGCTCCTGTATGGAACTGAGTTAATGAGTGAAATAACCCCGCCTAAAATAAAAACCCAGAAATATATATA